CCAAATATCACCATCTATCACCACTCTCTCCACCTAACAATATTACTCCAAGACTTACGGTAGTAATACTACGCAACTGAACGGATCATCATATGAGACTGAAATGTATTAGCTGACTTACCCTTATGAATTCAATAAAAAATTTCTTTTTCAATAACACCGAATTGTGTAGCACTGGTAAACGTCTTCACTGTCTCTTTGTAGACTCATTTGAGCTTATGTTTTTATGAATTGATCGGTAGATAGATTAAGGAATAGATGGTTAGACTAGTCCCCCAAGCACTCCATTTTTCTAGTACCCAGAGCTCTGAGAATGTTAGAATCCCAAGAATAAAAGACGAGATTTGCACAGACGGAGGGAGTTGTGTGCCGGCGCGTGATAAGGTAGGACTTTGTTTTAATTTTTAACCCTGGTAGGTTAGTCACCCTGGATAACCTAAGGCAATCAGTGCGTTATCGAGGGACTGTCTGTCTTATTTCCATAGAAGTCCATAAATCTTGTCCTTCAGGATGCGACCCCATCAGTCAACTATCACCCAGGTGCCTACTTGCTTGCAAGGTGAATGATACAACAGGTGTAAGGAAACACGCCCAATGTTTCCACCCTTGCCTGAGATCGTACCCCGAACACTCAGTGTGTAAGGCGATAGAGTTACCTACCAGGCCATGGAACACCTGATGACACAGAGAGAGAGAGAGAGAGAGAGAGAGAGAGAGAGAGAGAGAGGAGAGAGAGAGAGAGAGAGAGAGAGAGAGAGAGAGAGAGAAGAGAGAGAGAGAGAGAGAGAGAGAGAGAGAGAGAGAGAGAGAAAATAATGTAACTAAACAAATGCCGTAGTGAAAATTTTCTCTCTCTCTCTCTTTCTCTTTTAACACAGGGATTTACAAGGATAAGTTTAGGGTATTTACATGCTAATCGCTGTTGCCTTCATCGACTCACGTGAAAGCCTTATTATTAAGCGATAAGCATGTAGAGGACAGGATAAAGTTGGAGCCATCTGTGAGCCAGAGATTTCATTTAGTCAACTGAATTTATTTTGTTGATGTCATGCTGTATGAACATGACTAAGAAAATCGTAATTACACGATAACAACAAGGATAGTCAGAGTGCAGTTGCTGTTTGCTGCCCGTCTTGTTGTGTAGGAGCTCACTTCTCGCTGCCCTCGGAGTGGAGGCGAGTGCAATACTTTGACATTACTGACATTGTATATAACAATAAGGCCACCCAGGGTTCACCTGTGTTGAAGGCTTTGAAATGACAGATCTGTCCAAGATGAGTCCAGGCAAGACATGAGTCGTCTTGTTCTGTTCTCAGTGGCGTTGCTAGGGTTGGTGTCACCTGGGGCGGCATCTTTAGTGTCACCTCCATGAAATCCAAGGGCGGGGGGATGGGGGGAGGAGTAAACTCCAGTTACGTCACTACTGCATGACCAGTGACTAATGCTTAACAATGTGAACGTTTAAGGGCCATAAACCGAACAGAATACTTCTCAACTTTATTAATGATAAAATAAGTAATCGTAGTAATATTGAGGAAACATAAACTCAAATACCACTTTGAGTACAGCCAACAGATCCTATATTTATTCATCTTCAACAATGCAAAAAAAAAAAACCTGAAAAATAAAGAAAAAGTTGCAACATCAGAGAAACACTAGTTCCTATTTGACTTTGAGTACAGGTAACAGCTCGATGAATCAGATCTTATATTTCCTTCCTTCAATCCTGCAAAATCATCTATCACGTCATCAAAATCAATGCTATCAACTGACCCATTTTCTTTGGATAACATTACTGAGTCAGATATTCTGGATTGACTCATTAACATTGGCAGTTACGTACCAGGTTACTGCAACATTTCATAAGTATCAGTTCTCACCCGTTCATATATCTTGGTTCATGAACATGACTGACATCACCAATAAGGAAAAGTAAAGCTCAAAATATGATAATTACTGACCTTTTGTCTGTTTAACCCAGCCACATATACACCACCTGGACCAAACTCACTGGTGGGCGGTGCAGCAGCCACATATACACCACCTGGACCAAACTCACTGGTGGGCGGTGCAGCAGCCACATATACACCACCTGGACCAAACTCACTGGTGGGCGGTGCAGCAGCCACATATGCACCACATGGACCAAACTCACTGGTGGGCGGTGCAGCAGCCACATATACACCACCTGGACCAAACTCACTGGTGGGCGGTGCAGCAGCCACATATGCACCACCTGGACCAAACTCACTGGTGAACGGTGCAGCAGCCACATATGCACCACCTGGACCAAACTCACTGGTGGGCGGTGCAGCAGCCACATATGCACCACCTGGACCAAACTCACTGGTGGGCGGTGCAGCAGCCACATATGCACCACCTGGACCAAACTCACTGGTGGCGGGTGCAGCAGCCACATATACACCACCTGGACCAAACTCACTGGTGGGCGGTGCAGCAGCCACATATACACCACCTGGACCAAACTCACTGGTGGCGGTGCAGCAGCCACAAATGCACCACCTGGACCAAACTCACTGGTGGGCGGTGCAGCAGCCACATATGCACCACCTGGACCAAACTCACTGGTGGGCGGTGCAGCAGCCACATATACACCACCTGGACCAAACTCACTGGTGGGCGGTGCAGCAGCCACATATGCACCACCTGGACCAAACTCACTGGTGGGCGGTGCAGCAGCCACATATACACCACCTGGACCAAACTCACTGGTGGGCGGTGCAGCAGCCACATATACACCACCTGGACCAAACTCACTGGTGGGCGGTGCAGCAGCCACATATACACCACCTGGACCAAACTCACTGGTGGGCGGTGCAGCAGCCACATATACACCACCTGGACCAAACTCACTGGTGGGCGGTGCAGCAGCCACATATACACCACCTGGACCAAACTCACTGGTGGGTGGTGCAGCAGCCACATATACACCACCTGGACCAAACTCACTGGTGGGCGGTGCAGCAGCCACATATACACCACCTGGACCAAACTCACTGGTGGGCGGTGCAGCAGCCACATATACACCACCTGGACCAAACTCACTGGTGGGCGGTGCAGCAGCCACATATACACCACCTGGACCAAACTCACTGTGGGCGGTGCAGCAGCCACATATACACCACCTGGACCAAACTCACTGGTGGGCGGTGCAGCAGCCACATATACACCACCTGGACCAAACTCACTGGTGGGCGGTGCAGCAGCCACATATACACCACCTGGACCAAACTCACTGGTGGGCGGTGCAGCAGCCACATATACACCACCTGGACCAAACTCACTGGTGGGCGGTGCAGCAGCCACATATACACCACCTGGACCAAACTCACTGGGGGCGGTGCAGCAGCCACATATACACCACCTGGACCAAACTCACTGGTGGGCGGTGCAGCAGCCACATATACACCACCTGGACCAAACTCACTTGTGGGCGGTGCAGCAGCCACATATACACCACCTGGACCAAACTCACTGGTGGGCGGTGCAGCAGCCACATATACACCACCTGGACCAAACTCACTGGTGGGCGGTGCAGCAGCCACATATACACCACCTGGACCAAACTCACTGGTGGGCGGTGCAGCAGCCACATATACACACACCACCTGGACCAAACTCACTGGTGGGCGGTGCAGCAGCCACATATACACCACCTGGACCAAACTCACTGGTGGGTGGTGCAGCAGCCACATATACACCACCTGGACCAAACTCACTGGTGGGCGGTGCAGCAGCCACATATACACCACCTGGACCAAACTCACTGGTGGGCGGTGCAGCAGCCACATATACACCACCTGGACCAAACTCACTGGTGGGCGGTGCAGCAGCCACATATACACCACCTGGACCAAACTCACTGGTGGGCGGTGCAGCAGCCACATATACACCACCTGGACCAAACTCACTGGTGGGCGGTGCAGCAGCCACATATACACCACCTGGACCAAACTCACTGGTGGGCGGTGCAGCAGCCACATATACACCACCTGGACCAAACTCACTGGTGGGCGGTGCAGCAGCCACATATACACCACCTGGACCAAACTCACTTGTGGGCGGTGCAGCAGCCACATATACACCACCTGGACCAAACTCACTGGTGGGCTGTGCAGCAGCCACAGGATGTCACGTCACTGATGACTGGTCATAGTGATGCTAGGTGGATTAAGGGTTTTTCCAAAATATCGTTAATAAAATCATCGATTTATCGTAGTTTTTCTTATAGTGTCATTGATTTTCCCTATATAGACCTATTTGTACTCTGTAATCATATAATAAGCTTTATAGAAACAGAGAATTTTTCTCATATGTTGATGTAGCACTGTTTTGGCTATTAGCGCCACATTCTTTAGCGTCTCTATGGTGTCACCCCTTGATGGTGTCACCTCCTTCCCCCGCCCCCCTTATGACGCCACTATTCTGTATTCTGTCAAGATGTCGCAGATGATCATGACGGGGGCAGGCAATCCAAAAAAATGGAGCATACTCTAGGTGTGAGCATACTTGAGCCTCACAAGAGCTGTAAGCAACCTAGTTGCTGTGCTTGTAAGATTTACGACGTGATTCTTCATAGCCAATCTCTCTCTCTCTCTCTCTCTCTCTCATACACACACAGACGCTGTCATCGTCATCGCTTAGCAGTACCCGCTTCCCTGGTTGTGCACAGCAACAGTGGAACAAGGAGCCGAGACTCAACACTCCCCATGCATAACCAAATGAGCATATAAATTTAAACGAATATTGAAACATTTGGTGGTAATAATTGGTCAGAGATTAAGGTACATCACGCAGATGCCAGTCACGAACTGTTGGGACACTCCTTGATCGTCTTTCTCTCCTCTTTCATCTCTCATTTCATCTTCTGTGTCTCTCCTGAATCAAAACACATGTCGCAACAATGTTATGTACTACCCACCAACCACACACCGAACAACGAAAACCACCCACCTACTACCCACCACCCATCCACCTACCACTTCCTGGCGGCATCAATACTGCTTCAGCGGGAGCTGGGTCCATGCAGGTTGCAAAACTGGAGTTAGATGGCCACTCAGTATCTTCCTCAGGTGGGCAGGAATCTCTTAAGTGATCCCCAGAATGGCAGTCTCCTCCGCCTGAAATTTCCAATATTCAATGTGTGCACCTGGTTCCATGGCCAAGCCCCCCATATGTATATATATAATATATAATATATATATATATATATATATAATATATATATATAATATATATATATATATATATATAGATATATATATATATATATATATATATATATATATATATATATATATAATATGTTGTGTGTGTGTGTGTGTGTGTGTGGTGTGTGTGTGTGTGTGTGGGGTGTGTGTGGTGTGTGTGTTGTGTGTTGTGTTTGTGTGTTACTCACTAGTTGTATTCACCTAGTTAGGTTGCAGGGGTCGATTCCAAGCTCCTGCCCCGCCTCTTTACTGGTTCTACTAGGTCACTCTCCTTGAAACCAAAGCTTTATCAACCTCTGGGTTAAAGCTATGTATGATCCTGCCTCCACTAAAATCGCTTCCCAAACTGTTCCCCTTCCTGACACTCTGTGACTGAAGAAATACTTCCTAACATCCTGTGATTCATCTGTGACTTCATCTCCAACTGTGTCCCCTTGTTGCTGTGTCCCATCTCTGGAACATCCTGTCTTTGTCAAACCCTCAATTCCTCTCAATATTTTATATGTCGTTATCATGTCCTCCCTATCTCTCCTGTCCCCAGTGTCGTCAGTGATTTCCCTAACACAACTCATCTTAGGACATACCTCTTAGCTCTGGGACTAGTATTGTTGCAAACCTTTGCACTTTCTCTAGTTTTGTGTGTGTGTACTCACCTAGTTGAGGTTGCGGGGTCGAGTCCGAGCTCCTGTGTGTGTGTGTGTTTTGTGTGGGTGTGTGGTGTGTGTGTGTGTGTGTGTGTGTTGGGGTGTGTGTGTGTGTGTGTGTGTGTGTGTGTGTGTGTGTGTGTGTGGTGTGTGTGTGTGTGTGTGCAGAATAACCACTTAGAAAAAATATTGAAATTCCATCTGCTTTCGTGATTTCTCACATTCTTAAGGAACCATAAAAACAAAAGATTAACAAGAAGGTGAAACGTTTTCTAAATAAAGATTCCCATATGTTGCATGTCTCAGTCTTCAGCTTGTCAGTTTTCAAAACTATTTATAACACACAAGGACGAGGCAGCACCTGACGGCCACCTCAACAACATCTAACTTTTGATAATGATGCAGGTAGGTAGTCAAGGATTCCTGATACACAGCTTATATTCTACACAAAAATTTAGTTTGCCTAATGTATCTTAAATTCTTCCCAATTTTTATGAATTAAAAATGAATCCAATTTGTGTAGCCCAAAAGCAATATTCACATTATTTTCAAAGGAATTTTTTATGAGACTTGTTTCTATTATATTCCTCTCGACTAAGGTGTAGTAATACTAGATACAACTTTCTCAACTTTTTGAAAATCAATTGGATGGTTAAAATCTCTCACATGAATAAACAGATCATTAGAATCTTGTCCAGTTCTAATGCTATATTTATGTTGTTTTAATCTTAGTTCAAGACTTTTACCAGTTTGACCGTAACAAACTTTATCATATATTGTAGACACATCCGTCAGCATTTCTGAGGGATTTTTTTGTCAAAAGTGTTTTTTTTTTTTGCCGTATCAAGATTTTTAAATACAACTTTGATATTAAAATTCTTAATTGGAGAAGGCATATAAACCAAATTTTCATGGTAAGGGCGAACCAACATATTTTTAGTTGAATAAGGGTGGTTGTCCTTAGTAATTTTATATATATATATATATATATATATATATATATATATATATATATTTTTTTTTTTCAACAAGTCGGCCGTCTCCCACCGAGGCAGGGTGACCCAAAAAAGAAAGAAAATCCCCAAAAAGAAAATACTTTCATCATCATTCAACACTTTCACCACACTCGCACATTATCACTTGTTTTTGCAGAGGTGCTCAGAATACAACAGTCCTAGAAGCATAAACATATAAAGATACACAACATATCCCTCCAAACTGCCAATATCCCAAACCCCTCCTTTAAAGTGCAGGCATTGTACTTCCCATTTCCAGGACTCAAGTCCGACTATATGAAAATAACCGGTTTCCCTGAATCCCTTCACTAAATATTACCCTGCTCACACTCCAACAGATCGTCAGTCCCAATTACCATTCGTCTCCATTCACTCCTATCTAACACGCTCACGCACGCTTGCGGATCCAAGCCCCTTACCCACAA